TATTAAAAAGAAACTAGAATAGCTATAGCCAAAAGACAAAGAAACGAAAGGCTTTTGAAACTAGATTAGAAGGAAGAAAGAAATTGACAAGAATAAAGAAGGCTTCATTCTTACTTTTATATATATTACCTACATAGGAGCTATGTGGCGACATTCTACAAGACTTCTTTAATATGTTGACTTTGCACAACATGTATCTTAATTTGCAATACAAGTTTTCTATATAGGCGCCAAATAGTTAACTTATTTTATAAGCTACCAACACATGTGGCACGTGGTTAACTTCTTGACCAAGTTTTTAATCTATCAATCAACTATAAACAATCTAAGTAACAATTATAGTAAATACATATCCATGATACAATAAAGCTAATAAAAGCTCTATTTTTTTCTTTCAATGATAAAAATTATCACCTCTAAACTTTTTAATCATTCTCAAGCCTTCACTTTTATTTGAAACCATGTTTTATAAAGAAGTATATCAAAGACACTCAAGTGAAGACAAGATAGAGTACTCTAAATAAATAAGAAGGTATTGTTGCTTTAGAAAATCCAATATACCTTTTTTATGAGTAAATTAGTTATTTCATTCTTTAATCACTCTTAACTCTCATAAGAATAATTTTGATCTCATACTTACCTTCCTATCACTATAAGAAGACATCTTAAGAAATTCAACACATAAAAGCATAATATTAATGTACTAATTATATATACTCAACAAAAAATTACAACACTAGTGTTCTATAATATCATTCTAATATTGTTGATATCCTCAAAGACAATGAATACACTCAACAATAAGTAAGAACAAAACTACATCAACACCTAAATGCAAAAAAGAATTTAAAAGATATTTAATCCTAATATTAGTAATAACTATAAGCTCTATTCTTGATAACAAAAAAGATTTTAAAAAACTTCATAACTCATAATTAAAGGTAAGTGGGTCCATAACCTATTGAAAAAAATGAACTTTGAAGTCATAGCATATAGCATCAGTAAGGATGCTCACAAAGAGAGTATGGAGTAAGATGTCTCTTACTTCCAACATCCATTACTTATAAGGGGTGGCTTCCGTCCTTATGGACAATTTCCATCCTTTGATGAATACATCTATTCAAAATTCTACCAAGACTATCTATTGATATCTAATCTACTATAAAAATATGTCTTTAGCACATCCTCTATATCTTTAAGATCCTTTGTTCATTCATCTATATTTTTTTCTTGGCCTTCTTACATACCAAAAGCCAACCCTTTAATTAATAACAACTTATCTAAGGTAATATCTTCTATAATGTAACTTATTTTATTTTTATTTTTATTTATTTTTTATTGAATCAAATTTATATTCATTATAAGAATTTTAATTTTTTTATATTATTGTATATCTTAAATTATTATAAAATATTTTAAAATATACTTTTTTATAATTTTTATATAATATCAAAAAATAATAATAAATAGATTTATTAAATGTCTTGTATAGACATTCCTATCTTAAATCAAAAAAAATATTGCATATGAAAAACAACAATCTGTTCTTTTAAATTCATATCAATGATAACTTTGAGCTATAAATTCAACAACCATACTTCACAATGTTTTTCTTGATGAATTATATTCAAGCACATCAAGTAATCCTTTACTTTTAAATATTAAAAATAGCCTTTATAATGACTTTAGTAAATTTTTATTTTGAAGACAGTATTTTTATTGCAAATAATATTTATATATTCTAAAAATTCAAGCATGATATTAGATACAATAAAAATATAATAGATACAATAAAACTTTAAAGCTTATTTTATGGTGGCTACAAAAATAAAAAGTTATTAAAACTTTTTTTTAATTTTATAATACTTCTTCTAAAACAAAACAAAAAAAAAAAAAAAAAAAAAAAAAAAAAAATTGTCATCAATCTTGTGGGCTTCTTCAATCTCTACCTAAGTCATTTATTTCAATAGACTTTAATATAGATCTTTTAATTACACATTCTTATAATTTTATTTTTATAATAGAAGATTGATTAATCAAAATGGCGTATTTTGTATCTTAAATAAAAAAATATCATCAATAAATATTTTTTATAAATAATATTCATTAATATTATAGAATTTTAATTAATACTATATTTGATTAATGACTCTAATTTAAATCAAGATTTTAAAATGCAGGTTAAAATTTATTTTTATCTTTACTTATTTTTAAAACCTACAGATTTTATTTATACATCTAATCAATGTAAAAAATTTAATGTATTAAAGTCATAATAATTCATAATAATTATTTCTATTATTTTTAAAATTAATTTAAAATCCTAATTCAATATCTTTAAGTGTTTTTATTGTTTTCTTACTAAATATTGGTGTTTATTGCATCTACTTTTATATGTGGGCCAAATTTCAAGTAATATTGTATTATTATTTTTTTAAATATGATATTATATCTACTGAGTTATGGAGCCATTTTGAGTCTTAGAGTAGAACTTATAGGAGAATATGACTTAGTAGAAGATAACTTAGCACTACAAAATTATATTGGTTTCACTGTTTTTCTATGACTTTGTAGATGCTGTGATTTAATAGGAGATAACTTAGTAGAGATAATATATAATATCACTTTCTCTTCTAGCAAATTTTTTTGGAAAGAACTATGATAATTACTCTCTATACATTACCAAATAACAAAAATATTGAAAATTATAAATATGTATTAATAATATTGTTTGTTAATTAATTTTTATTAAATGAAAAGATAAGTTAATTCAACTAATAATTGTAGTTGCAAATTTTTGGTGTTGATAGACTCAATTCAAAAACTTAGACTAAGTATAAGTTTTTAACACGTTTTAAACAACCAACATTATAAATATTAAGTTCTAAACTATTTGAAAGCTCAAGAAACTTTTTGAAGATTTTTATACTAAATTTTGATTTATTGGAAGGCTATATTTAATTGACAAATAAAAATCAACAAATATTAATTTTTACTGAACATAAAACATTTATCAACTTTTAATGCAAATTAATTTTTACACTATGTTATTTTTTTACTGTAATAATACAGCATGTGACATGTATCTTCTCTATGTAAACTTTCCCTATTTATTTCAAATTTCACAACAGAGTAAAACAAAATAGACTTACTTTCTTCCATGGAATCTTCGCATTCATTGTTTTAGTCACATGTCCACAATACATCACAATTGACTATTTATGAGGAAATAATGCTAAGCTTTCTTGTGCTTCCTTACAATGGGTGCAAAAGTCTTCAATGATTTAAGAGAGTTGACTTTGACAACAAGTCCAGAGTGAATTATAGGTGAGTTTGATCATGTGTTGTGAACCCTTTGGTTTGACTAATTGTAAGCCAATGCACATACTCTAAGTAATGTTTGTTGTCAAAGCTATGGGCTAATGGGTCAAACAGAATCAGAATCAACAGATAAAGTGTATGGGATGGGACCAAGACAATGCCAACATGGGAACATAGGGGTGTCCTCCATTCACTATTCCCCACAAAAAGGCACAAGGCATGACCTGACATTCTCAAGTAGTCAACAATGTCAATCCTGCTAAGGCCCATGATAAGTTGATACAAAATAATAATAAAATAAAAAAAATAAATTTTAAAAAAAATAAAAGTTATATCTTTGGACCCCTACAATGTCCTAGAACACTAGAGAATATTGTAAGTCAAATAGCCTCTTGTTGTTAATCCCATGAGATACCATGAGTTTTAAAAAGAAGTCAAGGGTTGATGTGGCTAATGTTGGAGTATTGTTCTCAATTACAAATGGAACATATTTGAATTCATGGGGTGCTTGTGTTTACACAAGAATGTTTGTTGACTTGATCAATATTGAGAGTTGTTGATGAAGAAGTTCTCTCAACTTTTCACTATCATAATAATTCTAAGCACAAACTTGTGGGCTAATCTGTTAAATTATCGTGGATAGTGAGATTACCAAAAGTAATTGGAAGGTGAAATAGAATAATGCCATTGTTGAGCCATGGATAAAACAAAACAAAAAATAGAGTTCTACATATTATCCTGAACAATGAAGTCAAAGGTTTTTGGCAGTATATAAAGGTTGTTTACATTTGATGGTGTTGTTAATGTAGGCTGCATTGTTGATTTTTTAAAAATATAAGGATTCTTTGAGATGTCAGATATGTTTTGTTAGTTTGGTTTAGTAAAAAAACACAAATAAAACTCTTTTGGTTTTATACAATATTATTCTAAATTATCATATATCTCAGTTTTAAAAACATAAAATATTATCAGTATATATATATATATATATATATATGTGTGTGTGTGTGTGTGTATTGTGTTTTAAGTTAGAGCTATTTCAAAATCTCTCAGAGTATACAATGAACACATTCTCTAACAAGCATAATAATAAAAATAAATAAATAAAAATAAATAAAAACCCAAAACTGGACTAACTTACATCTATTTGTTAAAAATGAATTGTTGTTTCTGTGATTATTTTATTTAAATATTTTTATTATATAAATACACTCATTTTGAATCTTAGTATGTTATGTTATATTATTTATTCTCTACCTTTTGAAAGATTCGATTGAAAAATATTTTTTCACATTTATGTGAGGCTTCTGTTGGCACAAGAGGCGTGTGGTCTTCATTCGGTGTCATTACAAAGCAACAAAAGTTCCAAATGCTTTAAAAGAGGATCAAATATTTGGGACACAGGCTGGGCCCTCATTACCGGGGACTGGCCGGGCCGGGGCAGGCCGAAACAGGACAGGGGGGCTGAGGCGCTGGCCTAGCGAGCAGCATCGCGCCAGTAGGCACCCGGGCGACGGCGTGCCAGTTGATCGATCGCTGACGAAGCAAATGTCACGCACTCGCGACTCCCAGGAGGGGCTTCCGCAAAGAATCAGCACTTGTAGTGGCTGCTGCTGCGAACGCCGGGGCCCACGGCGGATACCTCCAGGTGCGCAATCATCGAAGTTTATTTTGGGTTGGAACACAGTGCAACGACCGTGTCAAGCACCCACGTCTCCCTGAAGATGTGGCTCCGCGATCGTCTTGCAGCTCCAGCTTCGCACTCTCGTGGCACCCATCCGTGAAGTGGAAGCGCATTAGGCATTTTTTTTTAAGTTCTTTGATGTTTCTAATGGTGGAGTTAACGGTCGGTGGGTGAGTGCTCCTGCAACGACTCACGTATTGTCGTGATTGTGTGGTCTTTGCGGCTTGTGGTTTGCACGTCGGGCACGGCCGAAGAGTTGTTGAGGATTCTACCGTTGTTTCACTGGAAATTGTGCTGTACTCTCTAGGGTCGTTGATCAGAAATTTGTTGTGTCATGGATTTCCGAAGTGGGGCGTCTTGCTGGATGGCTTTGGGTTTTTCTAGTGTGAGGAGAGCTAGTCGCGGTTGACGGGAGCAGCCCGCTGGAGGATTTGCGGAGCTGTTTATTGATATTTCGACGGTCTTGGAAGCTGGGTTTGATGGTGACGCGTCTAGTTTCAGGAATAGCTATCTTGTCAAAGGCTTTGTAAATGGCTCACAGATGTGTGAATGTTTGAGCTGCAGTGGCGAACATTCAGAAAGAGGTTTTAGCTCCAATACATAACTCTCTCACCGATTTAAGGTTTTTGATCGTTTGGTTCCAATGAAAGCCCTTCAGAGTCTTCAGGTGTACAAAGACAACTTTCCATTTGTGACAGCCGATTCATTTACATTGTTCCACAACTCCTGCACTTTTTCGATATGAAAGCTGCTGAGGATTGCATAATATAGGCGGGGTTTCGATTGAAGTTGAAGGCACTTTGAAACAAGTGACGTATTGGCAAAGAATTTGAGCATGCGGTTAATACAGATGCAGGGTGGGATGGCACACAGCGTGTTCAGTTTGCATGTAACAGATTTAGAAAGCAAGTCAATGAACAAGCGCCATGTCGACAAGTTTCGGCGGCGTGTCTGGTTATGGAGAGTTTGCTTTGGCTTCAATCTCCTTGCTATTACAGCTTCAGTTGCTGTCTTGGGATTACCTGCCCAGTGTAAGCTCCTTTCCTCCTTACCCTCATTCATCGAACGCACTTTCATGCACACAAATGCAAGACAATGACAAGCAAAGGCGTGGTTAGTTCAAGCAGCTTCGTATTAGCCAGCATTTGCACCGAAGTTCAGTTATGTGGGCGAGGGAACAATAAACTAACACTCATCATGGCTTCTCTCAGTTGACGCAGTTTCACTGTCAAGCAAATTTGTGCTAAGTACTTCCACGAGCAAAATCCCTACGTACTTGCAGCGAGAATCGAGCAGTCTAATCACGAGCCACAAAACGCATATTGAGGATGTTGTTAGCTTTCACTCCGACATCTTAATTCTGATTCGAGTATTTTCAAGCTCAGCATTCCCAACCAAAGACAGGCTAGAGTGTCATTTTGGGAATGACACACACGGCGCTTACCGCAAGGTCACGGCCTTGAAACTCTACGCCGATCGAGCCGCAGTGTTATGCGGTGCACCTCCGGAGAGTCTCGAGTGGGATGGGAGCTCGGTTCTTATCGAGATCGATTCTGAGATTGAAATTCGTCGAAAAGGGAAGGCCGCTCCTGACAGCCAGCAGGCTTTGCAGTGGAACTCGAGCAAGGTGGTGTATGAAGTCTTTCCAACGGAGGAGGATGTTGTAGTTTTTGTGCATGGGATTAATCATACTCGTGGAGCTCATCAGCCGGACATGTCCCAGCACGAGCGGCTCCAGCAGTTTCAGTGTGTGTACGGAGACTACTTCGAAACATCTGTTACTGCGCAATCGCAAGAGATTTTCCGGTGCGGTCACCCATCGGCGCATTTGATCACAACCTTGATTGGGAAGAAGCTAACGATTAGGTATGAAGGTACAGTTCTTCCTTCAGTTGCTTATTACGGATCTAAGCAAAATATGAAGCCAGCGGATGTTCCACTCACATTGGAACAGCGGACAGTCCGTTCAATAAACAGGAAGGTTTTGGCGCCAAGGGCGGATTCGCAGACACTGCCTAATCCGAGGAAATATCATATTTGTTCCTGCACGATGATCTACAATGGTGCAAAGTTTCTGAAAGAGTGGGTGTATTATAACAGCCATCTCGGAGTGGAGAAATTTATTATTTACGATAACGGCAGTGAGGACAACTTAGACGAGGTCATCGAAAGCTTGAGCAGCTTCAACGTCACGAAGCAGTCATGGCCGTGGATGAAAACACAGGAGGCCGGATTTTCCCATTGCAGCCTGCTGGCGCTGCCCGAATGCACATGGGTGCTATTCACTGACATTGACGAATATCTTTTCCCGAGCAGGCGCTTCTTGTCGGAGGGAAATAAATCTATAGTAGCCATACCTGAAGCTGCTGAACAACCGGCACCAACGCCAAGCTCTGATGAAACTCAAACCTCGAACTCGTCGATTCTTTCCCGGTTTATCGAGGAATCAGTTGCGGATCATGATTCGGAGACTAACGGCACAGTGGGTCAAATCTCCACTTTCTGTGTTAATTTTGGGCCGTCGAGCTTGACAGTTTCTCCCCCTCAGGGCGTCACGCAGGGATATACTTGCCGCCTTAAGAAGCCGGAGCGGCACAAGTCCATAGTGTTGTTGAGTGCAATCGACAAAACGCTAACAAATGTGATCCATCATTTTACCCTAAAGCCTGGCTATGGTCAGAAGCTCATTCGGCCCGGGACAGCGGTGATTAACCACTATAAATATCAAGCTTGGAACGAGTTCAAGTTGAAGTTTCATCGCCGCGCAGCAACCTATGTGCCGGACTGGACGGAGGACCGGGGTTTAACTTCAAGAGACAGGGTTCCAGACCTCGGGACGAAGGCCATTAAACCTGCGGACTGGGAGACGCGGTACTGCGAAACACAAGACTATGCTCTGCGAAATTACACGCAGCGAGTGCTCGGTTTTCACGACAGCAATGGGAAATTGCATCTTCCATGGGAATAACCATTTTGACTGTAAGAAATGGAAGCCTAGATTGGAGTTAACACCAACATTGTGACTGTAAGATTGATTACGCAACTCGTAGCTTTTGAAAAAACTTAAACTCTTGTTAGAGTAGAAAATACCTTACGAACAACCCTAGTGTAAGAAATTTATTTCAGGGATACCAAAATGGCAGGCCCAAGCGGATTGTACAAAGATTTTGAATTTGGTGACAGTGGACATGTCCTTGAATAAGATCTGAACGAGCACATTGAGCCGTTGACTTCTTCCAAACACTCCTCTAAATGGTATCTGATTTTGCTTTCTACACGAACTAATGTAAAGAGGCATTCATTCTCTATTTGTGGTGATAGGTGACTTGTTGCCAACGCATAAGTCATTTGTGCACTCATGGTGACATTTCAATGAGCCATAATCTCCCAGTTTACAAACTCTGAAGTTGTTCAGCGAAATGGTATCATTTGACGCTGAAGCATCCATGTTGCTTTCCCTCTTGAAACACCGCATCATGTGGAACCTCTTTAATAACCCTATTTCTACAATTACAAAGGTGTAATGGAATACGTCAAGGTTTTTCTTCAATGCTCCCATGCACTAATTATTCTTGGGACTAACATTTGAGATGAATCTGCCGGTCGTTGTTCCTCCATCGTAAAGGCATGTAGTACAGCTTGAGAAAGATTTGCCACATCAGTTGGGAACATTGAACCCTTAGCAAGATATTCATCGATTTGTGTGGGAGTTGTCGATTGCTGTAAGCACAACATGACCTGAACCGAGCGACAGCACGAACTTCGACACCTAGACCAAATGAAATTGCGAATTGAGGTTCTCAAGCACATCGCTTTGAGCATCAGTACGCAATCCGTCTTGTACGTACAGAAAAAACATCACTAAACCCCGGTTTGATAATTCTCGACTGCATCGAATACGAACAAATCAAGTTATTTTACTGGGTCCCACTTCATCACTCTCCAGATGGTTGCGCTCGACTGTGTCAAGGCCTTGGATTTTGTCGAAATGTGGAAGCTGTGCTGTAAAGATTGGAACCCTGGACTTCGAATCAACGACACCGAAACTCAGATCCACCCCGAGAATATTTCAACATGAAGTAAAGATTCTCATGAAAGGGTCTTCTAACAAAAGTGATACACCTGGAAGTATGAGACACAGTTCGAAGCACTAGGTGGCAAGCCCAAAGTTCTTTCAGAAGGTGATGGTTGTTACTACCTAAAGCAAGAATTCGGATTGCCCAACCTGCGATACCCCGCAAGTAAGAGACCCGCAGTACCTTACTGGTTGATTGGCTGTCTGCCACCATTTTTCGCCACAAAATATAGTATGACTCGGCCCAACGGGATATGCAGAGCACTTCTTGCCCACGCAGTTCGAGCGATTCAGATATTTTTAGAACGTCTGTGAGTTCTGCAGCCAGAAACCAGGCCATTTTGCTGTAAAAAAAAAAACGTTTCTAGCATGATATAAAAACCGTATAATCACTATGAATAGTAGCACTGAGGATCTTCAACGTCTTCTTCAGGAATTCTCTATGACCGGACCAAGCTGCAACAGTTGCTAGTGTCCCGCCTGTAAAATAAGCAAACATAGAACTGAAACTGTTCAATGTAATGACGGTACATAATCAATGAAATGCTCTTCAGTATCGGTGCGGGCAAATGAATCAACCATATGAAACAGAACCTTACGAAAGAGCCTGTGAATGCCTGCGCATGTAGTGGAGCGATTGCGTTGGATAACAACCGCATGGATGATTTTCCACAAGACGGCATGCTTCCACAAGTAAAAGTCTGTTCTGAGGATGATTTGCCGCTGCGCTCAAACCCGTGGGTATTACTGTTTTACTCTATTTACTATTTCACACCGAGGATTGCTTTTACACTAATAGATACACCTGCTGATACCAAGGCCAGCAGGCACGCTGAAGGGTTTCAGGTCAGACCGAATGGTTTTCTTGAACGGATGTCTATTATAAGCATTCATCCACAACACTGGAAACGAGTTGGGGTTCAATTTTGAGAGTTGTTACTTCCTGGTAGTGGTGCGAGGTATGTCCGTTACGATAACAGCTTACGGGTAATTCTGCATAGATAAACGTAAGCAAGAAACTAGTTTACGTAGCATAAACACCAAAAGAGTTAACTGCTACGTCGTTCAATATGCAGCTACCATGACTGGTTTCATTCTTGAACGCTGACTTGAGACGGCATGGAAGTATCACTAGTCCATTTGCCGTACGAAGGGACAAGCTCTCTCTCATGGCAGCAAGCATTGAAGGATTCTACACTTTGCATGTTTTGTGGGCTATGAGGTGTGTTCAAACTTAGTTCAAGAAAAATGCACTGCTGGACACCAAAACACACACGCCATTGTATCTTGACAGTCCAGAAAGGATGTCAAGACGTTACCAGTCTAGACGATCTGTAAATAACACGTAATTTATAGATAATTTTTTGGAACATATAGCATGAGAAAGTTGAACCAACGGGCTAATAAAAAAGACTCACATCATATTGCTGAGCATCCCTGAAGCCAGTTCGCACACAAACCGCGAGTACGAGATCCTCTGCACAATTCAATTAAATTACAGTAAGAATCAAACAAAGGAGTTACATGAGGATTAAAACTCAAATCTGAAAATATCTTGCAATGTAGTAGTGATAAATCAACAATGTCTTGTTACTTACAGATTTTGTTGAATGCGACAATGTCGCAGGACTGGATGTACTCGTTGTTAGGTTCTGAAGTCAGATAATCTTCGATCAAGTTGTCGATACTTACCAAGTCGTCGACAATGGTCATCATAATCGACAACTTCTTAATTCCGGCGACCACAGTCACGAGCTTGGCTGCACCCAAACAGAAAAAAGATCCAAGTGATGAGGATTCCTCGCATGAATGTAGGATTGTAGTGATGGCTATTAGTTGTAAGGTGAAGTGACAAAGTTCTGCATATCACTCCCGCCCCAGAGAATTTTCCCTCAAAAACAAAGAAGCTAGTCAACACTTACAAGCACCCCAGTGAAGTCCCTCCATTTGAACGGCACGGACACACTCCTCCAACTTCACCATATCCGTTTCATCATCCCATGGCTTCACGTCCATAACAATAGATGACTTTCCAACTGCCGAACACCAAAACCACCATGGGTCGAATCGAATTATTTGAATCGAACTTGGAAATGAAATCAAACAAGAAACCCACCTTACCACAGATCAAATTATTTTTTGAAAGATCCAGACAGTGGATAATGAAACTCGATCGCGATGTCGTCATTACAGTTGTGGTAGAACAGTTGTACTTACCAACTTTGGGCTTCGCACCCTTAGCCTTCTTTGCAGCCTCCTCACGCGCAGCATTGGCGGCAGCCCCTCCTCGGTTTCGTCACCGAACAGATCGAGGTCATCATCGTCTCCCTCTGCAGTAGGGGCAGAGACCTCCTCCACGGGTGAAGCAACTGCAGCGGCAGTAGCGGGTGCAGCGCCGCTCTCAATTTGTACTCCTACACCTGGCGCAGAAAGCCTGTATGCAATCAAAATCCCACTCAGAGTCATGTATTAGAGATTCATTCCATTATCCATGAGAAAACTTTATTGTAGCTTTAACACTCATAACTGAAACCAAAAATACTGAAGTAAAGAGATGTAGACTCGTCTCGACCTACAAATCCAAGTAATTTCTTTCTCGGAAAAAGAAAAAAGAAAACAAAACAGAGGAAGACGCGTGAGATACGTACTGAGGTCCAGCTAGAGCCGTGATGTGCTTGAACCATCTCGAAGCATTCGTATACTCCGCGGGCACGTTCGCCAAAGCACCGTAGACGGCGAGGTCATCCCTGGATGCTTGATATCTACACATCAACCAAAACGATCAACATGATCCAGACTACGATTGTTCTACAACCCGCCCGCATTAACACATGTCAACAAACTAACACCAACGCAAACAAATAAAATCCCCGCGTGAAATACCACATTGAGAGCACTAACCCAGAGATGTAGCTACGAGTCGAAAGGTACTGATCGAGCTTCTTCAGTCCCTCTTGGGAAGACACATTCTCAAAAGAGACACCCATGTTTGCGAGCGATGTTCCGACAACAAGGACAAAGCTACGAAGCGAACTTGAGGCACGAAGACAGAAACGAATGAGATTGCGATAGAGGGTGTTATGGAGCGGCTGGTCTTGTGTAGTGAAGATCAGAGCCTTCTAGGGTTTCAGAATAGATCTGATTTCCATTCACACAGCTGCAGCTGGTCAAGTTTCGAAGCCTGATAATATCTTTGAAATCTTGCAACAGAAGCTCATCCATCCAAGATGAGGAATCCAACAAAGGGCATTAGAGTGAGAGGAGAGGTTGAAGAATAAAGTTTGTAGAATAGAGAAGCCATTTGGAGCGTGGTTTAGGAGGGTGTTAAAGGAGATTGTTTGGAGAAAAAAGTTGCAAAAAAGGAAAAATAATAATTGGAGATAGTCACTTCAAAATTCATCACAAAATGAATCTGGCTTATGGAACAAGAGGAAGATGTGTTTAAATTTAGGAAAATTTATTGATGTGTGAAAAGAGAATAGATTTCACCCCATTTACTTTGCCTTCTTCATAATTAAAAATGGCTGATTTTAAAACTTGCCATTGGAGGAAATATTTATTCAACATATTGTGCTAATTAAAAATGGTTGATTTTAAAACTTGGCATTAGGGAAAATATCTATTTAACATATTGTACTTTGTTGGCAATGGTTATTGTTGACTTTAAACTTACTGTTATTTTATATTTATTGGTAGAGATGATTTAATGTTGTCCATATGTAATGCTCAATATATCTATACGCAAGTAACCCTGTGAGTCTTAGACAATTGTGCCTCCTGCAAGCAAGTTGGTGTGCATGGTGTTGAATCCACAAGTAGTTTGTTTCACCTAGAGGTTGAATTACCTTGTTTTTTTTTTTTTGTAGTTTGCAACAATATGGAAGTCTTTATTTTACACTATAAGTTTTGTGTACCATTTTCTCTTTCTCCCTTGTTGTCATTACTTCTCATGAACATAATCAATAAGTATTTGATTGAAATTTATAATATATCTATGATAGAACATAGACGATTGTGAATAAATATACTATTCTTTTCTTTGAATTTTTTTTTTTAATTTCTTCTAACTATGAGTTTTTTCTATTTTTATAAAGAATTTTAATTTAGAATTTATGAATCTTTAGGTGTCTTTGAATTCAAAAGCAAACAATCACAAAAAAAAAAATGTATTTTAAGGAAACTTGAACTTTGGTTAGTATTATAAATACTACTATTAAAAATGTTGATATATTCATCATTAATGATGAAATTCACATTTAATTTAATTATTTATTAGTATTTATATTAATATTAATCTTTTTGGATTCATGGCCACAATAAAACTACCAAAGACAAAGTAGGTTTAGAAAAAAGTAGGTTTAAGACTTTTATCAATATATAATATTACTATACCATGCTTTTTGTTGATTAAAATTTATTACACATTTTACAATACAGCAAGTATTTGACCTTGCATTTTTTAAAGAATCGTGAGTGTATAAGCTTAACTTACATAATTACTTATAAAGAATTAAGTCCAAATATCTTATTCCTAGTAAAGTTTCTACAAGAGATTAATAATTAGAAGCACCTAATGCTATCCTTACAATAAAGCTATGTAGCAAATGTATTTTATTTATTTTTTAAATATTATATTGATTTTAATCCAAGAAGTTTAGATCAAATCAAGTAAGATTATTGAGTTAGACTTGAACATATTAAAAATCAAAATTTGAAATAGTTTAAATAATTGATATTATGCCATGCTAACATATAATTTTTGTTTTGAATAAGCCCATTGCATGCAATGAAGATTGTATTGTATAATGAAAGTATTTTTCAATAATAACATATTAGTTTCTTTATTTATTTTTAATTAGTTAATATATATATATATATATATATATATATATGTATTGATTAAAATATATTAATTTTGTATTTTAATCAATATATAAAGCTTTACATTGAATCATGAAAAAAGTAGTAAAATAAACATGTGTATTTTATTGATTCATATTGAAAGATGGATATTGTAGTATATAGTTTAGTATATGACAAAATAATATTTTATATTATTCTTATGCTATAATTTTTAAAGGTTTTTGATGCAATTATAAGAAGCAATAAAAAAAAATATGTACTATTACTTTATTATGTCAAATTTTGGATTCAACAATTATAATGCTTCATTTTGATATTTTCATCCTGTTTTTAATATCTACACCTTTAAAAACAAGTGCAATACAACTATCATTTGGTATGAATTTTATTTTTTGCAATGCAAGTTATTGTAGATTAATTTATATATGTATATTGTAGCTACAACTTGTGCAATTTTGAATGGAAAAGCTATAAAAGCTTCTAGAAGAGATCTTTTTTAGGCTATAGGGCTTTGGAAAGCCCCACATTCATGTATTCATGCATTCTTGCATTCTCCAAGTTTCTTGAGTTCTCTTCTTTATGACCAATGAGAAGGCTTCTTTATTTCTTTGTCTTATATCCAAGATCTTTTTTATAAAAGAAATAGATGTAGCTATATATATTTATATATATATAAATTATTTTTAAAAATAAATATAAAAATACATGTATATATTTTAATAATACTTTTATACTTATTTTTATAAATAAATAATACAAACTATGCACAAAATGTTTTTTTTTTCTTGTTCTAAAACAACATACAAAAGAGTGGTTAATTAATGAAAATTTATTATAAGTGAATTATTTAGAACAGTTTTTCAATGGTTTAGTTCTTAATCTTAGAATCATACTTAAGATTTTACATTCTATAGGGGAAATAATCTTAGATATAAATTATTATAAAAAGATTAAAAAAGACTTGATATAAAAGAAGTTAAAAAGAAAAAGAAAGAACAATAAAAAGAAGAAAGAAAATCTTTATATTAAAAGAAGACAAGAAGAGAAGATTTAGTATAAATAAAAAATTAAAAAAAAACTAGTATAAGTAGGATTAGAAAAAGAGAAGTTAGTGGAAAAATGCAAGGTAGATAGTTATCCATGTATTGAAAGGACAAGGTGGTTAAAACCACCTTAAGTAGTTAAGTTAGTTAGAAATAAAGTAGCTTTACTAAGTTCAAATAGTATTAAATAAAACCTACTATAGAACAATTATGAATAGGCACAAATTCATACTGTAAATATCATAAGAAAAATCTTAATAAAAAAATTACTATTGATATTTTGTTATGTCATTTTATTATACACTTTTGATCTATTAATATCATATATGTATTATAAGGAAGGTTTATGAAGATCTTTGGGATTCTCAACATAGAAGAAAGAGCTTAGAAGGTAAGATTGATAATGACAAGTCAAGGTCCATCAAGTAATAGTTATATTATATTTTAAAGTGAATGACATCAATAGACTACTTTAAAATTGACAAAGACATGAAGAAACATAAAGAAGAGATTGAAGAACAAAGATTTCTAAGATAGATTTAGAATTTAATAGCTAAATGTTTGATCCTAATTTCAACATTGACTTCAAATCTAAGAACTTACATCAAGGCTACAACTATTGAAAGACAAGGAATGATCTTTGTCAAGGGTGATGTTAGTACATGGATAGCTTCTATATAGAAACATATAAGGAATATCCTACAATGCTTAAGATGAGAGAATCTAGATATTTATCAATGTTTATGGATATATTGCTATTATGTGTAAATCTTAAGAATCCAACATGAATGTAAAATATCTTTTTAATATAATCACAAAGTATAATAGCAATTATAGAAATACTTTCTTTTAAAAAAATAATAATCTTTTCTTGATTATCTTAATTTGTATAACAAAAAATATATTTGTCTTTATTATAATGCTAATAATTTAGAAAATTCTACTAATATTTTATATATAATTTAAAAAATGTTTTTTTAGTAAAAATAGTCATTTGAAAATTTATATTTTTATAGATAATTTTTTTCTAACAATCTAATTAATAAATAATAAAATATTTTTGGCTTCTACACCAAGTAATTTTGCAATCAATTATTGACAAGACCTATTTTTATAAAATTTAAATCTAAATAAAATTATAACTAGTTAAACTTTAACTAAGGCTTATTCAACATATCCATGATTATTTCTAAAAATTAAATTATTTTTAATATTTTCTAAAGGTTTTTGAAAATATTTTAATATTATTTGTAATAATTTCTAAAATCTTTCTTTTATAATAGAATCCAATATCAATCAAATAATACAAGTTTTAAGAGATGAACTTTTAGTAAAACACACCTCACTTGTAATACAAATGGATAAATATACTTTATAAATTTAAATAGGTTTTCATATTCTTCAAGGTCTAATTTGTTTAAAAATTGAGCCTTGATATCTAAAATATCTATATTGTCATTACTAAGAATATATATTTTTATTTATATTTAATAAATAATATAATATATAAAAATTATCAATTTGAAAAAAAATACATCAATATCAAATATATACTATATTAATTTTTCTATCATAAATATTTTACAATATTATAATAAATTAATTTTTATAAAAAAATAATACATATTTTTTAAATACATACTCAAATTACTATACAACTTAACAAATATTATCTTAATAAATTTCATATATATATATATATATATATATGCACATGGTATCTATTATGGTTTTATATACAAGAAAAAATGATAAAAAAATTAATTTAGATTACTAAAAAGTATTTTTACTTCTATTGAAAATCAAAAGATAAGTTAAATCAAATATTAAAAATAGATAAATCTTGATATATATATATATATATATATATATATATATATATATATATATATAATTATTTTATAATTATTATATAATTATAATATAATTAAATAAAAAACTAATATAATCTATTTTAATATAAAAATAAAAATATCAATTTAGCCAATAATTATTTTTATGTATATATAGAATTTTTTTGGCATTTAATTGTAGTTTAATTGATATTATAAAATAGTGAATTTAATTATTACAAGGAACTATTTTTCTTTCTTAGAAACGTTTGCAAATATCTAGTCATTGTTTGAAAACAACATCAAATGAAAATAACACATTTTACTGCAAAGTAATTATAGAAACTTATTTTTTTTAATTAAATATATATTCTAAATTTTTTTTGTTGGAATTAATTCAAAGTAATTTTTAATTTTATTAGAAATTTATTATATTTCATGTCTTTATATTATCTACTTAATTACTAAATTTTTATTTTTAAAATTAATTTCTTATAATTATTTAAAATTTTTATTTAGTATTATGTTTATTAGAATATTTGCTTTGACCTCCAATAGATTTTAACTCTTGAATAATAATAATAATTTATTGTAATTACTTATCAATATTCTAATATTATAACCTAAGTTGCTTATATCTTTTTTCTTATGGGGCTAAGTCACCAAGTGTTTTTTTAGGCAAAGGTGACAACTATCACAACTTAGTTTTTTTCATGACTGCTTTGTTACCACATACCAATTATAAGACTAAGTTGCAAGACAATCAATAAAACAAGGACACCAAACTATTATGGTGGTACTGCCAATATAGAAATTAGAAAGCCAACAAGAAAAATTAAATAGCAATGAAGTAGATCAAGTAGTATCAAGTAATAAACAAGGTGAATAGTGCAAAGATACATGATAAATATTGCCATTAAAAAACAATAAAAATAAAAATAACACATTGATAGATGATAAGCAATATTTGAAAATGAGCAAAATGAGTGAGAAAGAAAATGGATGATACTTAATTTTAGAGTTGAGTAGCAAATAACAAACATTATTCAAGAACTAATAAAACAAATGACAAGCATAATATGTGAAATTTAGCACTTTTGTATTGTAACAAGACTATTAGGTGAAAGATTACATAAAGATTAATAAACTAGTAGAACTGCATAAAAAATATAGTAAAAAATTATCTATGAAATATTAAGTTAAAAATAAGAAAGTGATATAAATTTTAGTTGTAATGGTGTTTTATTATTAATAAGTCTTTTTAATACTTTTTAGAACAATAAATAAGACAAGATAATGTTAATTATATATAAAATTACTATAGGCATGTTTAGATGAAAGAAAAAATAGTTTTTAAGAAAACATACAAAAGAAAAACTTAAATTGATATCCAAGATGGACCATTTGTGAATTGGAATTAAAATTAGACCTTAAGGCATAAAATTATATGTCCATAGCATAAATTATATTTTTTTTAGAAGAAATTTAGAATATAATTAAAAAAAAACTAAAAAATGATTCTTTGTGCACTAGTTTTGGGAATTTTAGTTGGTAATGACTTTGTAAAATTTACAATAATTTTTTTATTGGATTGTAATAAAATTTGGTGGACTAGTAGCTAGTATAATATATATATATAAAATTGGAAGAAAATTAAAAATAAAAAATAAAGATCTTAGAATTAAGAATTCAACATTTCAATTTGAAAAGGAGACAACTCAATATCTCAATGGGTTATTTATCTTTCATCTTAATTAATAAGTACAATTATTTTTAATTTTATAATTCTTATTATAAATTAGAAGATTAAAAATTTTAAAAAATTAATTCGTTTTTATTTATTTATTTAGGATTTTTTAAATATTAATTAGGATTTAATAAGAATTTTTAAAGTTTTTCTTTTTTTTCTTTTTTTTCTTTTTTTGATAGATTTATTATAGGATTTTATAAATATTATCTAGGATTTTTTAGGATTTACTTAAAGATTTTTTGATATTTGATTAGGACTTGGTAAGATATATGTTCAGTTTTTTTAGGGTTAAAGATTGTATCTTTGATATATAATGGCTTATTTCAAATCTTATTTAGATTTTTGTATAATTGCATGGAATATAATTTAAAATTGATGGAAGTAAAATTAATTGATGTAAGGATTTTAACAAGGTCGAAATTGCTAAAGAGCATGTATCTTAATATTATAAATATATATGTATATATATATATATATATAATTTTATATTTATTACAATAAGAACATCAAAGTAAGTTAAAACCTTTCTACGACCAAATGCCTAATGCATTTCTAAGCTGAATTTATATAATATGACAATATTTGATCTTAAAATGTATCAAATAAGAATCATAATTTATGATTTTGAAAGAAATTTAAGTAAAGACCAAAATTAAGTGGTTTGAACAATATTAAAAAGGTTAAATTATAAAAAGGTTAAATTATCAAAATTTCAATAAATATTTTTACAAAATTATTATTTTATTATATAAAAAGATAAATTAAAAAATTATAGAAATGTATATATATATTTTTTACAAAATTTAAAATTAAAGCATAGATATAAAGAGAATTATTTTTAGAATTAATTTTTTTATAATTTTTTTTATTAAAATTAACATTAATGTTTAAAATGATTGTGAAAAGACTAGATAACATATCTTTGTACAGTGATTTAGAGAAAAACAAAAATATTTTTTCAAATTACTAAGATTTAGTGGTGTGTAAGGGCAAGATGCGAACAAAATTGCATAATGCCAACCCTCTTGGGATATTTTCATGTTCTAATTTGCACTATCATAATGATATATCACTCTTTCTACTTGATTAAATCGTATGCAAAACCTGGTGGCTACATGATTCCATCTGTTGCAATATTGAAACCATGGTTGCTCTGAACTAAGTTGCTTGCATGATTTTTTTTTTTTTTTTTTTTTTTTTAAATCACTGGGATCCATTTCCAATGCATCTCCTAGAAATGCTCCACGCCATTCGTGGAGGAAGTCCACAAATTGTGAAAAAGTTTCCTATCATAATTGACTTTTCTCTGATCGATCGTCACTAGTTCAGATGCCCTCGTGCATGATCTCGGGCTTTTCATTCGCACATGAAGTGATTTGTTTTGTGTTTTGTGTTTTGTTTTTTCGATCAGCGCTAAGAGATTCATGCTTGGATTATGAATGCAGAAACCGAAGCCTTCATCGATTTGATCTTCCACCATTGACGACGGGCTTTCTTCAATTCTGCACAGACTACGTGTGGGGTTCGGAATGTTGCGCAGCAGGATAATGCATCGTCGCATGTCAATGGACTCGTTTCAAATCACAAGTACACGCTGCTTGAGTGCGATAGGGCTTTCGACTCAGACATCTCAATCCTGCGTTTCGAGTTTTACAACAGATTGGGATTAGAAGGGATCCGCAAGAGTTTGGCAGTAGGCATCGATTGCATAATTGCTGAGGTGAAGTGATCAGAAGTAAAGATTGCATTGAATAGAGGGAAAAGGCGAATACCTGCGGTTGTAAAGACCCGTGACCTGATCTGCGACTGCCCACATGATTGCTTGACCTGGGGGAATGCGCATCAGACGCGGTAGCAAACCCTTCCACAAAGCAAACAATCCTTCGTCAGCGTATATCCGAGTGATCGCGTGCATCATTCCTCGGTATTGTGCGTCGCCACCTCGCAGACCTCGAGTCTGTGCCATCAGGCGTGTCTTCACGACGTCGAATGGTCCCGTCGCGATAGGTCCAGCAAAACCTGCCAAAAAGCCAGACACCATGGATTGCCATGGCAGGAGCGTGACAGCATCCCCGTCGTGTTTCTTCCACAAGAGCTTGTCGCAGTAATTTTTCGCCGAAAACATGACGGCCTGGTTGGTGCCATTGCGTAAAATGGTGGGTGCAACGCCGGCCCACAGCCCTCGGAGTCCCTCCTCGCGTGCGATGGTCGCCGCGCAATGCACGGGACCCTGATACTTCACCAGCTCACGAACGACATTTCTCTGCTGCTGTAGCCGAATTTTCACAACCTCGAATGGGGTGACGATTGCAACGGCCTCCAGAACGCCCGCGCCGAAGCCTGCTGCAAGTCGTGCAGTCACGCTAAGTTTGCCCGTCTGCGCATCTGCTAAGGCAGATTGAAAGAGCGCGTTGGAGCCCATTCGGAGAGTATACTTCAAGGTAAGATGCGTGGCAAACGGAGTCAGGCCCTTCCACAGCGCACGCATACCCTCCTGCTGGACGATCGTGGAGCCGCAGTGCCGGATGCCTCGGTACTCGCGACGGGCCCGAGAGTCGAGCTGCAAGCGCGTTTTGATCACGTCGATGGGTTGCAAGCAACACGCTTCCACCAATCCACCCAAGGACCCCGACATCGCCATCACATACGAGGGGATGGCGGTGCCGCCCCTGGACGTCGAAGATTCGGGGCTCCCCATAACAAAACAAATCTCAGATGATCTCCCAGCTCACACCGACGTCCACGATTCACTAAGCAAACGACCAGAGTGGATTCACATTGGGACACGTTTCACAAGCAAACGCGACACAGCCCAAACACGACAGAGGATCGCAACTCATCGAAGACATGAATCCATCCCGATCGCAGGGGTTTAAGCCTGCAATCGAAGCACTACCTCGACGTGGCAGGCTCGCTATTTTGGAGCAATCAGGCATTGTAACATCTCAATCTGTACAAGGTGAGGAAAAGACCAACAATACAAAGGGAATCCATGGCATCGTAGCCGCATGAGTGATCCTTCGAGCTCATCCTGCCGCAAATTGTGACGAGCTATCTCTCATATCCACGAGTGCTTGCGTGCTTGCAACTTATCCTGTCCTGGATCGAGAGGAACAAACATCGCCGCCTCGCATCATTCCGGGTGGATTCCTTCCTTATCCTCCTCCTCATTCCTGCAGAATTGTTCCATCTTAGCAAGTCGTGCTTGTTCTCTCTTCCATCCTGCGCTTCATTTCTGTGCCTTTTTCACAATACAATTCACATTAGAATTCCTACACAGAGAATGTATTGAAGAAAGGCAAAATACAGAGAAGTCATTTTACAGAATTCATGTTTCATTCAGTAAAATTCTAACGCAGAGAATGTCAATGTGGCTTGTATTCTGTTATCACTCAGTGTAGACTGTTAAACAGTAATGTCCCTGCAACAAGTAAATAGGAATGTTTAAATGTAGAATCAGGTTTAAGTTTTTATTGATTCAGGATGCCCAACAGGGTAGAGTCCAGAGGACTTAGAGTAGGGGGTCAAAATGTAGGTCAAATTTCGTAGTGCAGCAGTAAGCTCAGCAGGAGCATATTGTACCATGGGTGTGGCTTCATTAAAGATTTGTGAGCTAGATACTTCTCTTGTGGATGTAGTTTATGAGGAAGTGAACCATGTATGTTGTGTATTTGTGTACATCTGATTTCTCATTGTTCTCTTTGTCATTGTGAATGTTCAATTCTCTTGTAACAGAGAATGTATTGAGAACAGGTAAAATATAAAATGTAATTACATTACTTAAATATCATGTTAAATTGATTACTTTTCAAAGTTTAATTTTTTGGTTCATTTTTCATATAAGAGGTGGTTAGCTTACATCAAAATTTGCATGATATGGTTTCCTTATATCAATATTTGCATGACATGGTTAGCTTATATCAAAATGAGCACATATAAGCTAACAATGTTGTGCACATAAGATATCTTCAAAGTTTATCTTTTTGGTTCATTTGTAATACAAGATAACCATGTCATGTACATATATTAAACTTGTCTTGTAATTTAGACACATATCTCGCAAGTTGGACCTATAGAATGTCACATGTCAAAGGACCTATAGAATGTCGCTAAAAACTCCAAGTTAGATAGTATATATGGAAGCAAGAATGAAGCCTTCTTCACTCTTAACTTCTTTTTTGCTTCTTGTCTAGTTTCAAGAGTCTCTAGCTCTCTAGTCTTTAACAATAGCCATTCCAATTTTTTCTTAAATATACATACTTTCATATTTTCTTAAATATACACATGTATCCAAATACATATTTTATATATATATGATTCCTTAAAAACTTATCATAAAACTTTGATCAAATATTCATTCACTTGAAAATAAATATCAAGTACAAAAAAACAAACATAGAAATATATATATATATATATATATATATACATCAATATTTTTTATAATTCTTTAATAATTATTGAATGAAAGATTTAATCTAAAAATAAAATTTAGAAATTTTTTACTTTTTTTAAAAGATTATATTACTTAAAATTATTTTAATTTTTATAAATCAAAAAATTAATATTCAATTGTTATAAAATCAATCTTACATTTAAATTTTTAATAAAAAAATGAAAAATTAGATATTTTTTATATATAAATAGTCATTAGGTATAATATTTTTTATAATTTATTTTTAATTATTTTAAGTTATTTTTATCGATTTAAATAAATTAAGAATATTTATTAAAAATTAAATTTTATTAGAATATATATTTTTAAATAACATATTAAAAATTGAATAGACCAAAAATATTTTTAAAAATAAAATAAAATAAAAAACATTTAAATAAAAAAATACTCATAAAATAAATAGAATTTTAAGTTTTAAGTTTTAAGAATTTCTTTTTGCATTCTATTTTTATGGATTAAATATTAATATTTTTATCATTAAATAATATAAATAATATTTTATAAAATATTCATGCAATAAATATACATAATATTTTTATAAAATAAGTAATTTAAACTATTTATTTCTTCTTTTTTTAAAAAAAAACTTAAACCATTTCATTTTTGTTAAAAAATATCAAAGATGCATATTTAAAAAAATAAAAAATAAAAATAAAAAAGTAAAAAGAATAAAAAAAATAAAACTACACATATGATTAGAAATAAAATAACATGGTGATGGCTCTAAAACTTGTGTTGGCAAGATTGAAGTATCTAACAATATATCTTTTTAATTGAACTATAGCAAATAAGTCCTTTTACAACATAATATCTTGTTTTTTAAATAACTATATAAATTTCTTTTTTTAGTTCTTTTAAAGAAAATCCATTTTAATATCCATCATTATATTCTATTGATTTTGATTTTTATCTTGTATTTCTTTATAAAATATATAATATTTACTATTTTTAGTTAATTTAAAATAATGATATGTTTAAAGGATTAAATTTTTTTTATTTTTAGATTTTTAATTTTTAGAATATTTAATTTTATTTATCTTTATTACTAAATTTCTCAAATATAATAGGATTTGACAACTTTCTAAAGCTATACAAAGATTTAGAGACATAAATCTCTACCTCAAGATTATCATATGTAATCTTCTTTTCTTTTCTTTCTAATTATATATTATTATTTAAATTTTTTTTCTTATCCCATGTCTATACTTATAATAATCTGATATATACTTCGATTCCATACATATATATATATATATATATATATATATAGATATATAGATATTTTCATAATTTACAAAGGTAAAATTCATATTTTTAAAATCCAACTTTGATAATTATTCTTATTAATCATAAATACAAGTTTAATTTTAAAAACTCATGAACATATAGTACTTTATAGTTTTACCACTTTCAATATTTTATTAGTGTGTTGTACTTAATAGAAATAAACAAAGAAAGATTCACTAGAAAAAAAAAAAAAAAAAAAAAAAAAAAACAATGTTGACAACTTAGTTCTAAAAACTCTTATTTAATCCAAAATTGCTTAACAAACTTTGGATTTCTCAAGAAATATTTGATTTAATGTTTTTACTATATATAGTTTAAAAAATGCTTTAATATTAAAAAATAAAATATTTCTTTTTCTTTGCAAAAATCATTAAATTTTATATATTTATATTATTTCTTATGATAGATTCCAAACACCTTATTTTCTTTCAATCAAATTTTTTTCAGTGTTTTTTATTCTTTGAAAAAGTTAATATCTTAAATTTTTTCTTTATTATATGCAACTACCCCATCCTGCAGTAATCATGTATATAGACACAAATATATATACATATATATATATATATATATATATATATAAATAATGATCTAACTTTTGAAGCAATTGGTGCAAGCCTCAGCATATTTAAAATTATATAGTTTAAGCCGTATTCAATACAACAAAGAGAAATAGTAAAGCTTACTTTGTTATATTTTTTAAACATATAATATTTGTCAAATCAAACATATAATATTTTTCATGCCAATTTGTGTTGTTTCTATTGAATGTTTTTTAAAGTTAGCATAATAACTTCATATGTGACCTTTTTTTTCTATAATATCATACAAGTTTTCAATCTTTTTTCACTTCACTACCAGATAAGCTTAACTGAAAACTTTTAAAATTTTACTTGATGTTGTCTATTAAGTTTAATATATTTAGAAAATTGAGTTGTTTCTAATTAAGAAAAATATCAAATATCAATCAGTATCCTTACAATTTCATCAAACATTTTGATGTAAAATATGTCAATTACTATAGTCTTGCACGGCATTTTATTTACTATTAATATAATTCTACTCATGTAAAATACAAGTATAAAAGCAATTCTTTTGAAGATGTATGTGATATTACAAACTTGAATTAAAGATCTATGCATTTTAGAACTTATTACTTTAAATAGTCATAGTAAAAATATATATGATGTTTTTACTTAAATTAGAAAAACTAAATTATTTACATAATTGATTTCTACATTTCTTTTTAAATATTACATCTGATTTTAAAATATTTAATTTTCCGAATAATAAAGATATAGTTTATACATATAAATATAAATATATATATATATATATATATATATATATATTTTGTTTATTTGTTTTTTTCTCTCTCTCTCTCTCTCTATATATATATATATATATATATATATATATTAATTCTAAATAATTTATCTTTATATTATGTAGTTCAAAGCTTAAAATCTAAAGTACATGAGGTTTCAAAGTAATTAAGAGACATTGAAGACAATAAAACATATCTGATATACTTTAATCATTTCCAAAAAAAAAAATTAAATTAAATTAAATGCAATTAAATTTTAGAACTTATTCATTAATAACTTCAATAAATATTAAAAAGACCTTTATTACGATTAGAAATTTATACTATTGGATAATTTATGTATTGTAAAAAAAATTGTGCTTTGATTTGTAATATAACTTTAACAAAAGTAATATGTGTCTTTTAATTTAATAATTAGTTATAATATATATAGGGAGTTGTTAAAGCCACACCTCCCAAACTATGTGATGATTAATTTTGGGGGGTAGGAAATGAGGGATAGGAATAGGAACAAGGACAAGGGTTGGAAATGGGGACAAGGGATGGGAGATATGGAACAAGGGATGGGGATGGACGGAATTGATCATGCAATGGTAATAAGAGGAGTGGTTTTTACAAAATTAGGATGTTGCTTTAACAACTTCCTATATATATATATATATATATATATACATATCTTTTATTTTCAAAAAAAATCAGTACTAATGCACATTTTCTTCCGACAATAAAAACTAATATTTTAATAGTATAATATTATTTCATAACATTGTATTTTAAGCCTTAAAGTTGTTACAATATAAAATTATTGTGAATTGTGATTTGAATCATTATAGTACCTACTTGTACGTCACTTCATTAAAAAATATATATATAAATAAATAAATATTATCTTTTAAGGATTTACTAATCATATATGATAATTTTTTATTATTTTTTTTTAAATGATTATATTTGGCATTGTAAAAAAACTCTTATACATTAGTTATAAAATATATATATATCTAATTTATTCTTTGATTTATATAACATTAATGCTATAGATTTTTCATAGCATTACAATTTTATTTTAAAGAAATCTAATATAGTATTAAAAATTAATATTACAATTTAATAGTTTTAGTATTAAAAATAGGATAATATAAGCCAATGTAGTTCCAATTTATAAAATACCTAAATTTCTACTTGAATTTTTTTATCAATATAACTTAAAATATGCAAGAAAAAGATTAATTACATAAGTCGAAGTGATTCTTAAAATTATTTATTTGATTTAATAAACTAATTAAAATCATTAAGTTTAGAAGATTTGTTTCATTATTTTGCAAGAGAAGCTTAGATTGTTAATGACCTTCTTTAATCTACCAATTACAATTCTTCCAACTATTTAAAAATAAATTCAAAATATTTTTGGTTTTTTAATTTATATATATATATATATTATTGTATTTTACTTTAAATATTTTTGTAGTAATAATTTAGATATATCATAATTCTCCTGTTGTGGTTTTTAAATTTCGTACAGAACTAATATTTTTAAAGTGTATTTACTATAATAAACTAACCATAATTTAATACAACTAAAAAATCAACAAAAGAATAAATTAAAAACCAAATATATCTTCTTCTAAAATAGTGTAGTAGCTTTAAAAGAAGATTGGTCCTGTTTTATTTTTTTAAGTCAAATAATTATTTCTGAAAAGATTAGTAATTTCTAAATAAAAATTATCTCTTAATTAAATAAACAATATGATAAGATTTAAAATCAAAGGCAGATAATCTACAATTTTTGAAGTAAACAATAATTTTAAAAATGTGAAATAATTTTTTTATTATTAAAGAAATATTGCAAGGTTATAATAAAATAACAAATTCTTTCAAATTCAAATTCATTATAGATCTTAGTTATTGTGATTAAAAACCCATAATACTACGTGTGTATATATATTTTTTATTAATTTATTTGAAAGTATATGCATTTTTGTAAATATATACATTTTTGTAAAGAAAGCATGGAACGTCATGATCCGAGTTGGAACATTCTCCTCAATTGCGAGAGCGTCCACCGAACATCACATGCGAAGAAGAGACAGCGATTGCGCACAACTGGGCTGCTGCAGGCTCAGGCAAAGCAATGGGGCAATTCATTCAATCAAGCTCTTTACAAATCCACACACAGGCAACGGATGTGGGAAATGAATCAGGAATGACTGACTAGCTCATTCGTGGGATGCGATCTAGTCCATCTGCCAGGAAACAATAGTTGTCGACGAGCACATAGCGCATGCAGATGATGATGGTGATGATGATGCAGTGTGTGTTCTCGCATTCGAACGCTACAGACACGATTGGACACCACGGAACACACACACACTACTCGCCTTCTGCGCAGCAAGAGTGTGTGTTGCTTTGTCGCGCCGAGAAGCATGCTCAGCCCTTTCCACCCCAGCAAAGTGTTTTGTAGGCGCAGCCATGTATGTCAATGCGCTCCTCGCCCTTTTCTTCTGACAAAGGCTGACACCCTCGCTAGCCTAGGTCATGACCCAACGCCTTTGCCACCCACCCACCTCCCCCTACCGAACAGCCATCGTGACGCAGACCATGTACGTTGGGGTCACAACCTTGGAATTTTTTTTGATGGGTCACTAAAAATCCGGTCGCTGTCAACGTTGTTGTTGTTGTTGATGCAGTATTGATAGACCCAACGGAAAATCAACGTTAACCAGGTTCTTCAACTTGTGCGTCCGGAAGACCAATGATCCTTCGAGGTGATCGCCCATTGTCACTGATATGGTACGACAGGACAAAATACTAGTGATGTGTCGATTTGAAAAAAACTGTTGGTGGGTTCGTGTGTGGAAGCCGTTTAGTAAAAGCAAAACGAGTTCATGTCGTTTTGCAAAAACCGCTTCAGAACCTTTAATATACTACGTTGGATGTTGCGCTACGGTAATGTGTACAAATACGAGAAATAGGGCAGAAGTCGTTCGTCTGATACGGCAGTTGTATTGTCACGTTGTTATTGCTGCTGATCTGGTATTAAGGTGGAGAACATTTTTTTGTACTTGAACCCAGCAAACTGCCAGGAACAAAATTTCGCACTCGTACCACTAGACGTCACAATCGAAGCTTGAGATTCGCTTTAGGATTCCAGCAGAGATTTTCAACCCTTGATACTCTTGGATCTGTGAGTTGTGGGTATTGCCAAGCTCCATCACTCTTGACCAGAAGAATTCAACGATAAGGATGCTATGTCACTAGTCCAAAAAAACACCCACGTGTGCTGCTCGACTGGCGTCTCTTGGCAGATTTGTCATTTAGGTGGTAGACAAAATTTTCTCTATTTTTGGTTGCATCTTGTTCGTTTCTGAGAGCTTTGAACTTGAGAGCCGATGCGTCGGATGGGGCGGGCAGCAACAAAAATAACCTACGCTTGGACTTGTTCGCAAACCATGAATCATTCGTCAGTGGTTCCAATGATCAACGCATCAAAGCTCAGCTGAATCAGAAGAACTTCGTTTGTTGTCGATGCTTCGAAACCCGAACTTCCCCACTTTTTCTCTACCTACGCCGGAGCAGGATTCATCCTACCGTCTAAACGATAAATTTTCAAAATGTTTTATTGTGGTAACTAGTTGAATATGAGCGAACAGTGACGTGCAATCATTCTGACTTTATTTCTACAGCTGCCACGTTTTAGAAGGCGCCTTTAACGATCAAATCTGCTGCGTCAAATCTTGTCCAGATTTTTCGGAGCTAGCAGCCTCGCATGGTTTATTCAAAAGGCATACTGCTCTGAATGAGTGACTGCGACAAACATGTATGTAACAAAGCTCCAGAGGCGAAGGTTAATATCCTTGTGGAGCTCACGTGCCAACTCCAAGCTCATGGAATCGCTGCATCTCGCCCATACATTTGTGGTGTACAATTTGTCGCTCCGCAAGGTCTACTCAAACCATCAGATGTCATGTGTCTAGTGCTTGCACTTCGATGTAAAGACACATCTATCAACAGCGTGAGAGTTTCTTCCTCGCTGCGCGTTTCCTTTATCGTCTATACGGGTCTCGTGGAACATATCTGAGTTTGATTGAGCTCCTGAGTTACTTATAAAATTATTTCTTCCGGAAGATGTTGACGCGTGTGCCTCGATGAACTCGGTTGGCTTCCAGGAAGCTTTTAACGTGCCAAGGAAGCTTCCTTAACCCCGTTGACTTGCACATCTAACTAAACTTAAATTAGTGCATGAATAATTCCCACCGTCGATTACCCTGACAACACTCAACCTCGAAAGCATGGTTTAATTTAGAGGGCGTCGTTAACCGAGGAGGGATTCCGAAATCGCTTCTCTTGTGGAAAACAATGAATGATCATCTGAGACAGACTGTAATGGAAGAGGACGCTCGAGAAAGCTTTCCTCTACGTCTGTCTGGAACTCTTCCCGACAAGTACTGACAATTCTTAGCTTGCAAAGGAAAAACACATGTAGAGGCTTCCTTCACCAACCACGAAGTGTAGCATACAGTGTGATATTTTCCGGAAAAGGTCAGCGGCTGCAGTTGGAGATTGAAGGCAAATGCTCTAAAACACCGTTTAAATCATTAACCTCGAGAACTGTTGCATCATCTAACCTCTCTCTGAATGAGATTTTACCTAACCCCCTTGGTTACTTGCTCCTGCTCTGCTAGTGCTGATGAAGCAGAGTCAGAGATTTGTTGAGGGAATGAGCTCGGATTAGACAATCAAGCGAGATGCCGGAGGAATTATTTGGTATAATGCTTCACCAAGAAACCGCTGTACATGTCCTCGGCGGCAATCGAGTCCAAGGCTAGCCTAGGTCAACGTCGCCACAAGAGACTGAATTTTTGGTAGTGTCTGGGCCGGTCGTAAATTTGCCTTCCTACTCCCAACCAAACGATTCCACAAGTTGGAAACTCTGGCAGAGAATGTCATGACTCACTATTAGCAGCTTTGCGACAGTTTTACCAACGTCAAATGTTAAAGTAGTTCAACGGCAGCTTCATGTACTGGAACAATGGTGATGAGCATCCAAAGATCCAAGCTGTCATTCACTTTAGCATTTGGAGTGCTCGTCGTATTAGGGTTCGATGATCTAACTTGATGCTTGCTGCTTCAATGGTTCGGAAGTCATTTGAGGTCCACTCCAGGCTGGTCTCATCCTCCTGCATCACAGCTATATATATGGGCTGGATCTGCTGCACTGTCCCCGTAAGTTATTTCACGACCTACTGATATGGGTAAAAGCCCCTCCTGTGTGGATTCTTCACATTGGATCAAAGCGCAGCTCTGAGAAAACGGGAAAAGCATGAAAAAGGGTAAAATGGCAGCTGTGGCTGGATAAGAGAGTATGGTCGAAAGAAAACGACATTATACTCCACAGCTCATCCCACGCTTCGCATACTGCTTGCAACGGGCAATGTGCGGTGGAGTGGATTGGATTCCGAGGCCTTCGACTTCGTCTCTCTCATTGCGTCACCCTGTCTCCCCCGGTTTCGGAAGAAACTGAAAGTCAGCGACGGAGTGATGAACTAGCTGAGCTTACACTTTACTTGGGGCGCTACATCGCTACTATAAAAGTACGGGTGGGCTGATTTCATCTTTATTCAGTTACATTTTTCCGTAGCTCTCAGAGCCCAGGAGATCGTCAGGTCGGTCTCCTTTTGAGCTTCCATTACTCTCCCTACTCATCACTGCACTCACGTGCACCTTAGATTGGCAATTCTATTCAGCTGGCTTTGGTTTGCGGATTGGAAAGAAATAGTTCAAGTTTCAGGGTGACTAAAATGAAGATACTAGGTGCACTAGTTGTGTTGATGTTGATGCACAGCTTTTACGATCTCGTGGATGCGCAAGGAAGCTGGCAAATTCTCAACAGAAATGCTGGGATTGCGTGCATGCACGCCGCGGCGACACATTACAATACTCTCATCATGCTGGATCGGACCAACACGGGGCCGTCTCAGATCAGGCTAGCAGGGGGGAAGTGCCGAAATCAACCGCTGGAGAGAATTCTGAAAAACGATTGCTGGGCACACTCTGTTATGATGAATCCGGTGAGTGGCGCAGTTCGGCCTCTGACTGTGCAGACGGACACTTGGTGCTCGTCGGGGCAGTTCTTCGACAACGGAATGATGGTGCAGACCGGAGGAGACTTCGAGGGGCTCCGAAAGATCAGAACTCTGAAGCCGTGTCCACCTGAGGGTAACTGTGACTGGATGGAGCTGGCCGAGCCGCTTGCGAAGGGCCGATGGTATGCCTCCAATCAGTTATTGCAAACTGGAACTCGCCAGATCATTGTTGGAGGCCGCAACGAACCCACTTATGAATTCTACCCCAAGAGGAGAGCTGGTGAGGGTGCATACTATCTGTCCGTGTTGGACGGGTGCTGCGATAATCTGTACCCGTTCGTGTTCCTGCTGCCGAACAAGTTGCTGTTCATCTTTGCAAACAAAGACTCAGTTTCTCTAAACTGGGAGACCGGTAAGGTTGTTAGGAAGTTCCCTACCATACCCGGAAATCCTCGTAACTACCCATCAGCTGGATCCGCCGTGATGCTCCCAGTTTCCTACACGACTGGGTTCACTCGTGGTGAGATCATGGTCTGTGGAGGAGCAGCAAACGGTGCTTCCCGAACCAACAACGTCGGGGCGGCGTGCTCTAACAACTGCGGGAGGATCGTGGCCACCGCCGCTGCTGGAGGCTGGGCCATGGAGAATATGCCCATCCGCCGCTGTATGGGTGACATGATTAATATGCCCAACGGCGAGGTGCTGATCATCAACGGCGCCATGAACGGGTTTCAGGGATGGGGCAAGGCCAGCAACGCCGTCTTGAACCCCGTGAATTACAATCCCAATGCTGCAGCTGGGAGACGCTTTGCCATGTGGGCTAAAACTGGCATTCCCCGCGTGTACCATTCTACTGCGAGCTTGCTTGCAGACGGTAGAGTCATCGTCGCTGGAAGCAACACTCACCAATTCTACACGTACACTGGCGCATTCCCCACCGAGTTGCGAGTGGAAGCGTTCTCGCCACCCTATTTGGGAGCCAAGTAAGCGTCGTTTCCAACCCTCAGAATCGCAACATTTCTCTTCTTTAACTGTTCTGACACTTCTGATTGCTTATTGATAAAATTTTGCACATCAAGCTGACAAATTTGTGATTCCACTTCAATTTTTCGCAATTTTTTTCCAGCTACAACGCGTACAGACCGGCGATTACTGGAGCTCCTATTGCACTCAAATACAATCAGGTCTTCACGATGGCATTCACCGTTGGCGTGCGACGCGGCGCGGTGACAGTTTACCAGAACAGCGCGCCGTTCACGACGCACTCTTTCTCGCAAGGCCAAAGATCACTGCATCTCAAGACCAGCGTTCCTGTCAGAGCCGGCGCCGGCTGGTCGATGCAAGTCACGGCCGCTCCAAACAATAGTCTTGCTCCTCCAGCGTGGTACATCTTTTTCTGTGTTCAGAACGGCATCCCCTCTAAGGGCAAGTGGATTAAGCAGAACAATTAGAATTCTCCTAGGTTCACTCATTCCCTCTCTTTTCAATCACCACCCCACCATCTAGCGAACGTTAATATCATCCACATGACCTCGGATCCTTCATTACTTTTGCCCCATGATTGATCCACCAGCACTTGAGTGTATGTGCTCCTGTGTATCCACTCATGTGAAAAATTGCACAATTTCAGTCGCGAACCGCATTGAAACCGTGATCAACCCGCAACTCGGCCGCCGAGGCAAAAATTGGTCCATAGCCAGTCTGCCTACATGTACATTACTGCCGCAATAATAAAGCAACTTCTTGGTTGGTTGGTTTTCAATGAATCATATCTTTTGGTGAACTACATAGTACATGAGTTTAAAGCAGTCTGACATGGCCATGTTCTGGACCTTCAAGATTCTCTGCAATTGGGTGCGCTGTTCCGTGCAGTCTCCTTTCAATCGCGTGAATGATTGAAGCCGACATTCAAGTATGCATCGGTCCATAGACGGCATGCTGCCAAGAAGAATATTGCATATAATTTTCTTGTTTTATATATTAGCCATTCACTGGATACAAATTTGTAGGTTCAGTATTCTGACACTGGTTCTCTTACTGGTAGGGCGAACACTTCTTCAAACGGAAATTAATCGTTTGAAGTGCGAGGAGTGATGTGACACAGGAAAAGGCAACAATAGAAGGTGAAATTGCAGAACGAAATAGCATGACTAACGTCAATGTGGGTGACTAATGGTGTAGTGGAAGGAGATGTACAAGTGCCCATGAGCCACTCAGTGGTATTAGAATGCGGCGAGACAACTGTGCTCCATTGCGTCTCTACAAATGCAACCAACCTGCATAAAACCCCGTTCTGTAGAATAATTCAAAGGATTGCTTCTGTAAAAGGAAATTTTATAAAAAGAGTTCTGACACTCCTCCTACCGCTGCATGCCTCACTGCACCAGTCCACGTGGCACAAGAGTTTGGCAAGCACTAATCATGTCCTGATCGGAGCCCATCGATTGAGCTCAATTACGCATGGCTTGTGCGTGATTTATGGGACTGATCATTTCTATTAAAAATCGCTTCGAAGTTCTTCTTAGATTGCGGCTACTATAGTACTTAAGATCAGATCATTATGCTAAGTACATTCGGCACAAAGGAATTGAACAGCTGATCGTGTTAACGTCACACCACCTTATCCTCGAAGATGAGGTCATTGTAGGCTACCATGGGACGTAGGTAGAAAATGAAAATGGGGCCTCCTTTCCTCCCTCCGCACCCACCATGTATGGATCCATTAAAGTAAAGCTAGCGAATAAGTGCTTGAGACAGCCATTTCAATGCTGCTCAATCATAGACACGAGACACACACACAGCAGTTTCACTAAAATCCAAGTGGCTACTCAATCGTTGGTCTAAGTAGATTGCGACAGTAAAGGTATACACACTGGTGTGGGGTTGTGGACTACCCCTAAAGAGCCTTTGATCTTATGAACTAGCTTGCCAACTTGCCACGCGAAGCAAAAGCAAAATTGATGAGGGACAAAAAGGCATTTCGGAACAAAAACTCCAGGCTATGTACCTAATAATTTCATGGGTGTTGCAACTTCGTAGTTCTTAGATTACTTAGTACAGTACTTCGATTTGCATAAGGCTACGTGTAGCAGGTTCCGCTAGATGAAGAGAACAAGGCACCCATATCTCAAAAACATAAAACGATCTTCATAAGTGACTAGCCCATCCCCGACAGTCCAACTGCAGCAGCTCCGATACAAGGGACAACACAATCTGACGTTGCCGTTAGATTATATGGCAAGTGACACAAGAATTGCAGTACGGAACAGCAAATCGCTTATAGTACCGACCATGTGAGAATGTGCTAACCATCATATTTAGAAGTAGTCTATGTGGAAGAGATCTCTAACGCCTCTTGACAAGAATTGTATTCAAATTACAAGCCGTGGAGGATGATCTTTCATCCCGAGCTTGGCCTTCTTAGCCTTAGCTTTTCTCCATGACTGCCACTGAGAAGTACTTTTCTGGACATCATCCGTGGTAAGAACCAAACTCAACCCTGTCACCGTGTCACTGCTACTACTACCATCAGTTTCTTGGTTCTGGCTCGCAACGTCTATGCCCACCTCGAGACCTGATTGTCTCTCCAGATTGCTAAGATTACCACTAGTATCCTCATCTGTCGTCGGTGCAGCAATTGTGCCTACCAAATCTTTCGAATGCCGAATCCTGGTATGATCCGATTCCTGAGTAGTCAAGCTCTGGTCATGTTCACTTTCTGAATACTTCCGCCGATCTTGGCTAGAATGTCTCTTCCGATGTCTGTTAACATCTTCATCTACTCGCCCTTCGAGAGTTTGAGAAGCCTCTTGATTGCCAAATGCGTCATTACTACTTTGTGTGCTGCTGCGCTGCCTGTGCTGCTTGCTCTCCTTAGATGATCGTTCATTGTCTCTTATCGTCTTGGAATATCTATGCTGGTGCTCGCCAACGCTGTAGTACCCATCCTCACCGCGCGCACTGTGAGACATCGACCTGTCCCGACTCCTTGACCTCCGGGACTTATGACCATCTGGACTCCTTGATCTTCTCCTGGAGCGATGGCGTTCGGAGTGGTGACTGTGGCTTCGACTATGGCTGTGGTATGCAGCATCAGAAGTTATTGAGTTTCTAGCCACATGTCTAGCATCACCAATATCAATATCCTCGTAGTCATATGAAGCGCCCTTATGGCCTCTTCTCTGATCTTTAGAGTAAACCGCCTCTCTGCCATCCGTCTCCCCATGCCTACCGGGAGACCATCTCTCAAATTTTTTGTGTCCTTGAAAATATCTTTCATCGTCATTCGCATCATCATCATCGTCATCCATGGAACGGCTTGCACTCTTGTCCCTAGCAGAATCATCATGATGGGTAGAATCTCTAAAATCCTTCTCTCTCCTTAGAGTATCATGATTATTGTCCCTTGAATGCTTTACTCTCCGTCGGTCATCATACTTCGATTCTCTACTAATTCGGTCTTTCGTTTCATCTTCACAATATTTTTGTTCTCTACCATCACTGCGTCTCCTGTGCTCGTCCTCGCGCACAGATTCTTTCATATGCCTATCTTTCCTCCGGTCATCATCATATGTCGACACACTGTCACCTCTGTGTCTTACCATATGATTACTGTAAGTGGATTCTCTGTGCGACCTCACTTTCTCCTGTTTCTCATCAAAATCTTCATCAGAAATATAAGCATGTCCGAAAAGTTTTGCCATCTTTCTCTGCCAAAATCTAGGGGGTGGTCTATCCAAGTCTGCCCATTCATACTCCCTGCGAGGGTTTTCGAAACAATGCATAAAATTGCACGCCGATCCATGTGAACACGTCTGCACAGTTGACCAAAAACAGCACGCAAGGATGTCACAAATTTTCCATCCTCTAGGTAAAACAACCTAAGAACAACTCGATGCTGGTAAAGTTCACTAACTCTTTCATTGAAACAGTACGAACATGAACCTTTGATTGCACTGCCTACGAAACGGAGGTTCTGCCTGTGAAAAAAATCAGAATCCTTAACATCACCTTGTAATTTGTCCTCATAAATTCCCCGCAAATTGCTATCTTCCACTTCTTAACTCCTACGAATTCACAAGAAATCTGAAACTCGGAGATAGCATAGCAAGTGTTAAATGACATGGAACGCACCATAAACATTTATAAAAAAAAATGAATTTCTTAACCACGATAAGCTAGGGAACAGCTATTACGAATTACTCAGTTCAGTGTTCCACTAAAAAATCTGCGAGGGGAAATGAACTACTTCGGCATGTGAAGCTTTGATGAATATACTGACTTAGACCTGCAACGTCGAGGGAAGCGCAGCTATTGGGAGGAGTGTATTCTTGATATAATACCTATAGCAATTTCCAGATCCGAGGAATAAAGCCTTTCAAGTGACTCTTCTAAGAAATGTGATCGTCATAATCATCATACCTGCTTCTTGGCGTAAAATCGCCCATTCATGTGATTGTATGCAAGCATTGCCGACTCTTGTGATGCATAGTGAACATAAACATTTCCTCGCAAATGGGGTGAACCATTTCGGCATACCTACACAATATTGGTGTGTGTCAGAGACTAGAATTCTAGATGATTTCACATAAATCTACAAAATTGAAAAGATCACTAGTGTGACATAAGGGACGTATACATAGTTCATATACTGCCTTAAAATGCGCTAACTAAACACAAGTCGCATAGAAAACCATTGATACCTTAAAATTCACAAGTTCCCCAAACTGAATGAATTCCGAATGCACATCATCATAAAATTCTTCATATTCTTGCGCCACCTCCTCATCAGTGTACTGTCAATCAGCATAAGGCACACACGGGATCAAATGGTCATAATGAACATTTGACCACTGCTTGATGCCACTTCACCATCTACTATTGGTGTCAAGGAAATACTTGGAAACAAGACAAGCAATTTGCTGCACCTTTAAACAAGCAACCACATGACCTAGCCAAATTTGTCACCCCGCTCCGAGATTTCAGTTATCCATCCAGAAACATCATTACTTAGACGAGGAGGAGGAGGGGATGAGGGAAGAAAGTTTTATTTTGGAAAAATAATAATAATAATAATAATAATAATAATTGTATTTGAATTGAAAATCAAAATCAAAAAGGAAGAGAAAGATAAGAGAGAGAAGAAGGAGGAGAGGATGAAAGAGTCCAACATAATTGCAGAAGCAAATTCAACTTTTTGCAGGCAGGATACATCATATGGCTGCCTCCTTTTCATGCTGCTACCTCAACTTCTGGCCATAACTCCATGAGATGAGCTCGTATGAAGGTCACGTAAGGAAATATAGTTAAGCAAGACTGCAAGCAAGAGTTGCCACGTCCAATACAATCTAAAAGCATGTGCAAACAGAAGTTCGCTATTTTCTGACCTCCGAAGTAAGGTCCATTCGATTTTTTACGGTCCAATACATGACAAATATCTACTGCAAACACTTGTCTAATAATGACGGGTACCACTCAGTGGGTAAAGCACACTGCTTTTACATAACTTCAAAAGACGAGGCGATATTGTTAAGAGGATATTGATGCCAGCACAAACCTCAAGGCTTTCAACTTGTTCCAAAGCAAGGCCAGCCCCAGTATACATGGAACGCATCAAAAGAGTGCAAGCTTCATTGAACACTGGATGCAGACGACTGCAACGCACACCAAAACGGCACACGCCTGTCTTGATATAGAATGGACAGTTCCTCTTATCCTGTTATATTACCATGTGAACACAACAAGAAGGTAAGTGTTCTCGCATGGAATCATTTCGAGAGGCTCACAAACATACAGGTCTTCTCATGGAGCCAAAGTCCTGAATTTTGAAAATTACTTCACCTGCTCTGTTCCGAAGTTTGTATTCTGGTCAGTAAGATCTTGAGCATTCGCCTGGTAACTGGAAAAAGCAGTGCTCTGAGGAGGCAGCGGATTTGAGGCTGGTCTATCCTTCTCCTGCTCAACGATCCCAGCAAAAGTGGTCACAATTTAATTAAAGAAATCTTCTGAGTAGGTTTAATACAAATCGCACGTGAACTCATAATTTCTCTAAGAACCACCGCTTTGATACGATAATAAAAAATTAAAATTAAAACGTAACATACAACGACACATTAAGCAGAGTTGCCTTTCCACAACATTCAGCCAATTGTGCTAATGTTTATTGATCACGGTATAGAATAGACTTGGTTCTCTATGTTAGACTTATATCAGTCTTCCAGTGTGCTCTACATACAACCTGGATTTGTCACACTCAGGATAAAATAATATGATTCGAATAAAGATCATGAGATTGCAATACCGCTTAATAAGCAGAATCCCTCAATAAAGTACATTGAGAAACCAGTAAGAAAGTGCTGTAACTAGTGGAAGTAAAGGAAAAATCAGCACAAAGAAGGAAACAACACACACACACACACACAAACACAATTACCTCAATGGCCAGCACGCCTGAGTTGGTGCCCTTCTTAACTTTCTTCCTAGGCTTTTTCACAATGATTTCGTTCCCTTGCCAAATGATTTCTGCAGGACCATCCTCCACATATTCCCAGCCTTCTTCAAGATCTTCACCATCTTCGCCTTTGCAAGTCCGCTCATCCTCTTTCCGCTGCAGATTTCAACCAACCAAACTCAAAAATCGCCTCAACAGCAGTAAACGAAAGTAACACTGAGACGTAGCTCTCCTACTACATAAGTCATAAAAAATATTAGATTGAATTTCAGAACTTGCAAGAAATATCAAAAACTTAGGAACACGAGAGAAATGTTACATTGAAAATAGTCCCATAGTGTTTGTAAGTTCATGCCGAAAACCCTAATTGGCACAAAACTAGCAACTCTAGAAATTTGATCGAAAGGCACTACCAACTCCCCTTGCCACTGACCATTTCCAACAAATAACGACCAGAACAATGAGAAGCTCTTCCTACTGCTTCTTCACCAACTTGGATGATGAATGTACAAGCACCAAAATCCATCGGGCGCAATTCGACCCCCACATTTAACCAAACAGAGGGCCGAAGAAAAGTACGAAAACATTTAGCCAAACTCGTGAATAGAGCGTCGTTCCTATTCGCTCCGGGGAACAACACACCACCGCAAAAGGATCATGCATTACGTCAACAACCGATCCCGAAGAACCTCGCAGCCAAATTTTAATCAGTCAAATTGTAATACAAACCTTTCTCTCAATTTCTTCCTCCTGTTTCCGCAACCATTCTTTGTGCGACTCTTCCTCTCTCAGCAGCCACAGCCGCTCCTGCTCCTCATGCTCGGCTCGCTCCTTGGCCAACACCTCCTCCTCCTCCTCCTCCGCATGCTCCTCAACCTCCTCCGCTGCACTCAGCAAAGCCGCCTCCCGTCGAAGCTGCTTCCTCTTCAACTTCTTCAACTCTTTCCGCTTATCCTTACGCGACATCTTGCCCAAGCTTAACAAATCACCTCGCCTCACGAAAAACACTCACCTCCACATTGAAAACTACTCCAAATCCAAACCCTAGAAAAACACAGCAGGCCAATCATTCGACGACTGACAATCTCAGAAATCAAAGCGATACTCAAAGGAATCTAACCACAATTGTGCAACCAAAGGGCTAAAATCGGAATGAGTAAGTCGAAAAATGAGGAACACAATTGGAGAAACCCACGGGGCAATGGAATCCGGGAGAAGCTTGGAACCGAGGCATATGTTCCAACCTAGCTTTGAAACTACGAACCTACCTCATATACTTCCGAACCTCCCACCGAAGCTACACCGTTGCTGCGACCGACGTACCTGTACACGACAAGACCATCGTATACGAGACGGCCCGGTATGCAGGAGTAGACGTATGTGGTTCATGAAGATAACCGGACCTCCCGGTCACTTCTGGGAGACCTTTCTTTTTCACAGTATTTTTCTTTTACTGTGAGCTTTCGTTTGTTTCTCGTTCTCCTTTTGGATTTGATGATTGTCATTCACTCTTATCCATTCTTCCTTTGACTCCTAAAGCTCAACTAACTCAAAGTGTAATGATGATTGGATTGCAATTTCATTTATATTCAAACATTTTATGTACCATAATAATAATAATAATAATAATAATAAGTATGTTAATGCAACATTGATTCTTTTTAATATTTATGTTTTCAGTTATTTTTTGGCATTAAATATTAAAAAACAGAACCAAATAAAACTATGAAAGTACTATATGATGACCACATCATCCATATAGTATGAAATAAAATATTAATTAAATTTTATAATTTTTATATTTTTTACTATACATTAATTTTAAATGTTTTGAAATTCAAATTTGATAGACAATTTATTTTCATAAAATAAAATATATTTATTTATTTATTGTAAGAATGAATGTTATAATATTTAAGTTATAACAATGCTTGATATTTAAAAAAAAAGATTAATAATATTTTATAATTAAATTAGATAATATTTCTATTTATATTATATTATTTTAATAAACAAAACTAAAAAATTATAGACAAAAAATAGTAAAAACTAGATAAAAAATAATATTATACTATATAAATTTAGAAAAAGATAATTTTAGCCTTATATAACATGTTTAATGTTTCTTATTTTAATACTATATACTTACCAGTTCTATAAAATTAATCAAAAAAAAAAAAAAAAAAAAAAAAACTATTAAATTTTAGCAAAGGGTTGTATTTTTTAATATTTCTACTTTATGTATTTACCAAAGTAATAAATCCAAATTTTCTAACAACTTCTTATGTGGATATTTTGCAAATGATTGTGTTAATATATCACCATATGGTTTAATAGTTAATATTTTTAACATGTTATTCAACTTTCTAAATTTTTAAAATGTATAGTTAGTTGGTTTAGTATTGACAAGTTTTGTCTTTAAATTATATATGAGATTTTTATTTGACATCTCTTATGTAGTCAATAAATAAATAAATAAATATTTATTTATTTAATAAATTCTATTTAAACTATAATAATGTCCTAGAATAATTCAAGAAATTATTTAATAGAGCCATTCATATGTACAATTACCACAATCATTTACATAATATAGTATTATTTTTGCAAAATAAAATAAAATAAAATAAAATACCTTATTATTCCTTTATTTTATTTTATTATTTTATATATATATATATATATATATATATATAATTTTGTTTTTAAGTGTTACAAGAGCAACATCATCATTATTTTCATTTTTTGTTGTCCTTTCCTTTTGGGATTAATTGCTGGAAAATACATTCTAAAGGTAGAGAATCTAAAATCAAAATATTATCCAAAAAGTGGTAGACTTCATAATTTTTGATAATTGAATCATTCTTTCACAAAGGAGTTATTTAGATATCTGAATTGATTAGCAATGACTGTAACTTACTATGTGAATAAGTATACTATTGGATTCTTCCTTCTTCATGATTTTATTTTATTATAATTATTATTTTTAAGTTGATTACTTTAAAGTGTAATAAATGTATTTTTAAAATTTTAATCTAGGTGTCTTAAAACATGGATTTAATGAGATTTGTTAAAGTTAAAATCATCACGTAATTTTCAGCATTATAATATCGTTATGTATTTGAATATATTTGGTAAAGTTTTTGTTATACTTTGTTGATGATATATATATTTATGTATCTAAACTTAGGATTTAACACAATAAGTCCCTCTCTATAAATAAATAAATAAATAAATAAATAAATATATATATATATATATATATATAGAAGCCAAAAAAATCTTTAGAAAAGAATCTTTTAATTTTTGAAATTCGATTTTTAAATAAAATCATTATAAGAAGATAAGTGTAAAAAGGAAACTCAATTTACCATTGTAGATAATAGTACATCCTACTAATGTTCTAGATTAGATAAGTTATATTTTCCATCTCTTGTTACAACTGATGTGATTAAAATATATTCAAAAGATTATCTGCCATGCCTAAATTTGAACCTTAAGACATTTTACTACCATGAATCATTATACAGAAATCTTAGTTTTTTAATTTTTTAATGAGTATATAACATTAATGGAAAATTAAAAAAAATGAAGATAATAGGTCAATTAACAAATAATAATCCCATAAAAGTAAAAATAAGTCAAATGAGCTTCTTTACACAGTTAGAATATGAAAGTAAGTTTTGGTGTTTTTTGAAAATAAAAATAATATATATATATATATATATATATATATATACTTGTTTAAAATTTTCTTTAAATAGTATCATTATAATTTCTTAATTTTTATGTATGACTATCTTTTTCAGAAGAGACAATCCTGATGCATAATCTGGAGAAATATTTTCAACCACAAAATTTTTATTATCTGATAATACGTGCTTATAAACATAAAGTATATCTAAGTTTCATTAGTTTAGCTTTTACTTTTTTCGTTGCTAACATCCAAAAAACATTATGTATAGGCTACTACTTTAATGCTCTAATATCTACAACAAATAAACTTATACATGTTCTATTGTCTTGGCTAAAACAAAATTATTTTATTTTATTTCTTATTTCTAAAATCTCTAGAAATAGGTAAATAATAATAACTCATGTGATTTGTAAAATAGCAGATTTTTTATAAAGCTAATAGTATATTTTGTTGAAATATATATATATATATATATATATATATTTTAAGATAAGTAGATTTTTTTACAAAATCTAATTAGTGTGATTAATGGATTATATTATTCACAATTCGAAGTTTTTTTTCTTTAAACTAATATAACAAACTATTATTAATTCTAAAAACAAAAATGATATTAGTTTTAAAAATATATATATATATATATATATATATATATATTAAATATTTACTCAAATATTGATTCATTTTTTATATTGACCAAATCGACGTCAAGAATCTTATTGATAAAGCCTTATGTTTTTAGAAGTCTATTCTCATAAACCTTCTCATTTTTTAAATTCTATTTTTAGATCATTTTTAAAAATACAACAAATAAACACATAATCTCATTAAAAATCCTATACAAACTATTAAGAATAACCACTAAAAATAACATTCCTTTAATATCCAATTAAATTAGATCTATTTGATTAAAAACTATTAAAATAATAAATATATAGAGAGAAAGAGAGAGAAAAAAAAAGAAAAAAAGAGAGAACCAAATAAATATTGTAATAAAAAATATAGTTTTATATATTTTCAAAAAAACTAAGATAAAAAATTTTATTAATTTATTTTGTAAAAATCATCCAAATAAATATTAAAAAATTAAATTTTTATAATTAAGAATATATTTAAAATTTATAAAATTAGTATAAATAATAAAATATTAAATCTACTTAGGTAAATCATAAATTAATCTATCTTTGTTCTTATTGTCTTTTACTATATCATATATTCTTCACTAATTCAAATAAAGTTATTTTTTCTTATTAATAACTAAATTTGGTATCTAAGAAGTTTTTTATTATTCCTAATTGTAGTATATATGCTTAATTTTAATACAATAAGTAGCTAAATTAATAAAAATATTATATTTTATATTTTATATTTTTTATAATTTAATTTAAAATAATAAAATATTGGAGTAGTATTATGAACTTCAATATTGATATTTATAAGTAAGAGAAAATGAGAAATTAGGTCGAATTACTTAAAAATAGATTAATTTAATAATATCTTAGTGAAAAACTTCTTAAAATTTTTACAGATGCAAATTTGACTTTATAAGTGTTTATAGGTGACTATAGATTGAAAATTTGGCAAAAACATTGGCCATGTATTGTACTTGTTGATCACATCTTTTACAAGTTTGTAATATGAGGCACATTTTGAAAACTTGCTTTATAAATCAAATACATGTTGGATGATCTATAGAATATTAACATATAGCTTTTTAGATAAATAGTATATATAGGGCAAGAATGATATCTTTTTTATGCTTGATAGTGTCTTTCTTATTTTTAGTCTAGTTTCAATAATCTTTAATCTCCTTATCTTTGACAATGGCTATACTAGTTTTTTATGGAATATATATATATATATATATATATATATATATTAATTTTTTTAATTTATATTCTTTTAAGTTCTTATCCTTCATTAAGAATGGCTTATTTTTTTTAATAATAAGATTCAAGTATATGAAAAGTCATGGATTATTTATTTTTATATTGATATTATTTATATAATCTTTATCATTCTCTATCACATATTTTTTTAAAAAAATGATATTTTCTTTTTTTATTCTATTATTTTGATATATATTATTGAAGTAAAAGATGTGATAGCATAAATGCATAAAAAAAGGTGAAATTTAATCTTTACAATGCATCAACTCAATTCACTACCACAACAAATATCATAATTGGTTGGAAGTAAAGATTTGGAGATGGTTGGAGCTACTTGTCAAGGACATAATCTTGAAGGACTGAAAGATCAAAATACTCTTGTGTCACTTGAAAAGACTAGATAATCACTCAAAGATAATATGATATTAAACTAAAATGGCTATTATCAAAGATAATAAAACTATAAAGTCTTAAAGCAAAACTAAGGACTAGAAAGGCATTGAAAAGAGTGAAGAAGACTTCACTCTTACTTCTATATATAATATCTAACTAGGAGTTATATGACAATATTTCATAGGACCTTCAAGACATGTTGACTTTGTTAGACATATGTCTTAACTTGCAAGACAAG